GATGAACGTCTCCCAGCACAAAGCACTTTACCATAAATATATAAAAGAATACGGAGACGAGGAATTCAGAGATGGATCGTGGCAGGTGATTGTGGAACAGTTTTGAGTCGGGGAACAAAGATTGTAAGAAAGATTAGACAGCAGTGATTGTGCTCTAGGCAGCTAAACGATAGCTTTTTGCTAATCTCATTCTTTCATTAGCCCAGTTTAGGACTAGTGCTGTCCACTGAACCCACCTTCATAATACAGTTTTGACTCGCAGTGCGAATATTTTCGCAGCAAAGAGAACAATAAAATGCAACAGACTCGGTGTTCAAGGTTTCTGTGCGTAACGTTTTTCATCAGATGACGGATTTCAAAAAACGTACATGAAAAATACAGATCTAGGTTTGCAAAAACTTTTACACTCAAGTACACTGAAGTGCATCATATCACAGAGTGCATCGAGTTGTCATCACGTAAAATCATCCAGCTTAACATGCTGCTGACAGTTACTTTGAGAGGAAGACGTGCTAAGTGGTTTGGACATAACACAGTAACTGAACTGAATGTAAAGCCTTCGTCTTGATTCTTACACCAGACTTTAAGTTTTCTCTCTCTCTCTCTCTCTCTCTCTCTCTCTCTCTCTCTCTCTCTCTGTAATATTGATTGTATGAAGGTATATTTGTGTCTTTATTACGCAAACAAAAAAAAATTTCTCACACTGCAATCAAAAATGTTAGTTTTGCTCATGAAACTAGAATGTTTGACTGCAAATCAAAAACCTTTGCTTTCAAAACGAAAACTTACGCTTTCAAAAAAAACAACTACGCTTTCAAAAGAGAAAGCTACGAGTTGAGTTTGGATGTAGTGGGCGGGGCATATGCTGCTGAATGAGCCAGGAGTTTCTATTGGTGGGTTCGACTTGGCTCTTGGTATCTGCTTCCACTGTAAACACGGACGGGAGGTTACAGTGATGAGCGATATGGAGGTAAGTTGACATTATATTGCTCTGTTTTGTCAAAATTGTTTTAAATGTAGCAGCACTTCTCTTTGTACTCATGTTGTTAGTGTCGTGGAGTCTCTTTTTTTAAAGAACGACATGGAGGGCTGCTGTGTTGACATGAAGCTCCGCTTTCTCGGTTGGAGAAAACCAAGCTCATAGGATTTATTTTAAATTGTGTCATACATGCGTAGCTAACCTTAGCTAACATAGCCATGCCTCAGGCAAAGTGCATGTAACGTTATGTTAACTTACGTTACTCCCTTACCGGGAGCTTATAACGTCACGTTTGTTAAAATGATCGGTTAACCCTTGTGTTGTCTTAACTTTCTGTATACACCACTTGTCCTAAGGGTCAAAAATGACCCGCCTTCACTAAACCCCTAAAATAAAGCAGCTTGATTGCATTTTATTCATCACAAACTTTGTAAATATCTAGGTTTTTACTCTTCACAGTGCAGAAAGACTGTTTAATCAGTGGAATCCACTTCTTCCAGACCTCTCGTATGGCCGCAAGTTTGTCTGTCACACGCCTTGCAGGTCTTGACTCACGATTATGAAATTGTATCATTCTTGAGAAAGTGTGAAAGACTTTCAGTGGCATCGTTGCACTTAAAATCGCCCTTTCATTCTCTGCATCCCAAAGACTAGATGCAGCCTCGCCTCGGGACCGAAACACACCTGCTAAGATTAGCAGCCCGATGTAGGCACGCAGGTCAATCTCATCCATCCTTTTCCAGTTGTCTCCATATTTACGGAAACCCTCCAAATTTGTCATCTCCAGGATGATTTTTTCTGTGGCTGGTGTGATGAACATGCTGAATGTTGAGACGATATCCTGGGCATGGGCAACTGTATGTTTTGTGGGCCCTGGGGTCATCCTTATGACATTTTGTGCTACCATCCTGCCCTAGTTGTCATATGGTGACCAGGACCATGTTATTTTTCCGTTCTTTGACAAAAATGTCTCTCTTTCAGCTTGGGGGATTTCTTCTTCATCTGAAGATGATTCATCGTGCTCTGGGTCATTTTCACCAAGTGTTGTCAGACTGATTTGATTTAGGAAAAAAGCTCCACTACGTGAAAAGTAAACCAGTGATTCTCAAGAAGTGGTCCGGGGACTCCTAGAGGTCCGTGGTACTCTGCCAGTGAGGCTGCGAAATAAGTTGGTAAAAAGAAAAAAAATTGTGCTGTCTCATTAAAAAGTGAATCAGTCACTTCACTCAGGGTGCAACCAACCGGTTCCTTTGCTTATTAACCATTGAGCTAGCCGGCAAGCATGGAGAAATACTTGAGTCAGTCAGGTGACGCTGAGTCCAAACTCGCTAAACTGAGAAACTATGACGACAGTTCGAGTGAGCAGGGAGACTAAAGGGTGTCATGTGTCCTCAGGTGCCAGCCATAGACCGTATGTAAGAAATGGACGGAGTGTTCGTGACGTCACCGATTGGTTTGTGGACAGCGGTTTTGAAGACTCGAGTGCGGCATTTTTGCCATCGCCATCTTGGATTTTGGCTGTCGTCAGGTTGTTTTGTGAACGGAAGTGACCATATTTGGACTAAGGGGGAGTGACGTCGTGGAAGAGACACAAAAAAAAGGTAGTGATGACATGATTCAAATTGAAATGTGTTTCTGTTCATCTTTTTTAGTTTTGGAAAACAAATATAGTTCAAATAAGTTCACAGAGGACAAAGGTATTAAGTATGTGCTTAATCAATGTTACCACATTATGAGGGGGCCCTTGGAAAGTTGTCTCCCCTGTTCGTGGTCCCTGGCACCAAAAAGTGTCTATAATAACAGTCACACTTTGGAAAAAAACCCCACAAAAACACCTGTCAAAATGTCAGCACCTCTGTGACATCACGGATCTCCACGTCTTCCCCAGTTAATTTGGAATCAAACCGTGATGGCTGCATCTGTGGCCACGAGCCATGGAGTCCAGGTAGATCCTGTAGGTGGATCAGGACTCTGGTTGATCTGCTTGTTGGATTTCAGAGTCGTGGCTCTTGTGGTCCGACGGTGGCTGGGTGTCGGACTGTGGCGGGTCGGCCAGCTCCAGCGTTTCAGTCCTGGACTCTGACAGACTCGGCGGTTGTCCTGGCTGAAGCAGCTCTAGCTGTTGCCGTGCTTGGACGTTGGACTCTGGGGGAATTGCGGTGGCATCTTAGACTTTTAATATCACCTCGGTTCTTGGTATCAGCCGATACCCAAGAAAAACAAGTATTACTGTAATTTTAGTTTAAGATAATTTCTCAGACTTTTTGCACACGTTAACCCTCACAGCGTGAAATAAAGTTTTACTGACATCGTTATCTGCCAATATTCAATAAAATATGCGTCAGGAAATCTGCATTCATGCTTTCTGTTTGCCGATCTCTGTTACACTGTAAACAACAAAAACGTGTTTAAATTGACGGGAAGAAAGCTGGTAAACTGGCTAATGGACAAAGAAGGAAGGTTCCGTTCATTTACATTATGATGCGCTTGGGCTCTGTTAGTGAAAATGAGTATTGGGAGAAGGTAGATCATGAAGCTTCAATGCAAATTCAGTCAGGAAGACTATATTTTCACTCCATTTCACTCATAATCTCTCAGAATAATCACAGGGAGAGAGAGAGACTATCAGCTGACTGGGGACGTTCAAAAATTAAAGGATCAATCATGTACTCATGTCTAGGGGTGGGAGGGGTGTGTGGATGCTATGTATATGTCTGAATGCGCACATACTGTATATATGGGTATGTCTGCAAGTTGTGCTGCTGTTTCTACAGTATATTTGCTTATATTTGCTACTTTAAAGGCCCTTGTAGGGACGGGCAAGTTGTTTTGCTGTTGTTTCAACAGCATTGTGATATTCTCACCTGCTCACATGCACAAAGCTGTGAGGGGGTGATTCGATCATCGCTTTGAAAAGTTGCGCTGTCAAAGGCGGCTCACTTACTTCCAACCTCATCTCAATCTGACGGCCCGCGTGACTCAACAATTATGATTCATAACGTCCCCCGTGTGCATGCTAGTCCAGCAAAAACGGTCTTGCTGGGTCACTAAGGGTCCTCTCGATCGAATCCAGTAAAAGATTTAGCCCAAAACACATTAATACGTCCATAAAGACCCACGGGGGGCTGTTGCATCATTTCAAATTAGCCAGCAGATATGATAACTCGCGATCATATTTCGGGCATAATTTCACTTTTCATGTCAACAGAGCAGAGATTTTCATCGCAAAATGGAGGCTGCATTCCACCGGTTAGATTGACACCTCATTTGACCCAATAGGAGCTTCTATAGCCCGGTCACAGTCTGGAACAGCCAACGAGAGTCCGCTTTGAAAGACAATGCCCGCCTCTCTTCTTTGGGTAAAGCTCGAGCCAATTGGAAACAGATCCTGTTCAAACACAGGCTCCATATAGCCAATGAAATTACGAAGACAAGGATATGCAGATTTATCAGATTGAATCCTGGGAAAGTTTTCCAAACTGAAATTGTAAACCGTGACTCAGGTACCTGAGACAGATTATCAAGACCAAAGTCTGGTTCATGAGAATTTTCAAGAATCTGTGAAAGTTGACAATGGTTAAATATGATATAGTTACATCGACATAAATAAACTTAGTTCAAATTTCGGACATTGTAGTATATGCATTTTAACGTGGTGACGCAAGCCTCCAAATGTGTTTTTACGCGGCCGCACTCTTAGTAAACCACGTGTAAAATATTAATTTTCTGTCAATTTTCTGTCGTATTGTTATCAAATTCTAAATTCTACCAGGCGTCATGACTGCATGCTGTCGTAGGACTGTCTTTTCAAGCCTGTAAGTCCCAGCCATAGATAACTGCTGCCATCTGTTGGCCAAAACAAATCCAGGTGTAAATAAAAATCTGTGTGGTAAACTCCATAGCTCAATGCTAGTAGCACTTACAGTGATTCTGACTGCTTGTGAAGAAACTTCAGAGTGTTACCGTTCAATAGAGACTAAAACCATACATGTACTCCCAATGGTTCAATAAGAGCTGTCAGTTTACTTTGGGTACGCGTTGGATAGGCGTTTTAGGCAAATTTTACAGGAGTGATAACACTGGCATTGCTGCCGGATTAATTTGTCTCTTCAGTAGTGTACTTGCCTCGATGTGAACGTCCTCTGCATCGTGACAACCAGATAACAACCTTCCGACATACATGTAGCCGTGTTCTCCCTGAGCCCTCAGCAGGTGCATACCGCTGTCTTATCCTGCACGGCTTGGCCCCTGTGGAGATTATATTTACTCTGTGTGGAGATTATATTTACTCTGTGCTACTGTAAGCACCTTTCCTGACAGATTATATGAATTAAGGCCTTATTATGGGCTCTGGCCAGGAGCTGCATGTACCGGTGATTTGTAATAAGGGCAGCGCTGAGGTGAGTCAGCAGCACCTGGCCTGATTACAGCAGCTGGACCACAGGAGGAAAACCCTCGGCTCATCCTACAGTAAACAAAGACAGCGAGGCAGGAAGGACACTCCATTAGCTCCTTTGTACTCTGCGGGTCGGAACGGTAAGGTAGCACTCTAAACTCAGAGGGATGAGGGCAAAAAACAAACAAATGCGATTACTAATGCAATCCAAGGCAGGTGTGTGGTGTGGTGAGACATTGCAAGAAGAGAAAACACGGAAGAGCCAGTTTGGTTCATAGGAATTCATCAATATTTTATGTTCTTTTGTAGCAAAATGTTTTCACACAGAAACAGTTTTTTTTCTTCTTGTTTTTGTCCTAGAACCTCAGGTGAGAGTCATTACTATGTCGAGTCAAGTACACACTTAAATTGTATTGTCAGTTAGCAGAATGGAGGAGGATGTTACATGATGTCACAAGTAGAGAAAGCAGGTCAAAGGCTCAGTTCACCCAAATGACAAGAAAAACCCATTTATCTCTGGTGACACCCTTTATTTAAGGTTTCTATGATATCTTTGAGATTTCTGCCTCCGGCCAAAACAACGGAGGTGAATGCAATTTTCTTTTGAAATTCTATATTTAAAAAGTTTCAGTAACACAATTCTCCGTCAGGAATACTGCTAATTCCTCAGAACTTTTCCTGGAAATTTGGCAGTCATTTTAAATGAGAAAAATGAGAAAGTTCTTAGAATTAAATAATTCAGTTCATTGAGTTACGTTTATAATTAATTGTTGATTTCCAATGGAATTTCCTGCTCTGTTTAAAGTTAATTAAAATCATCCAAAACTCTGCATGTTTGTGAATGCCTCCATCCCTCCATTGTAAGAGTGGGCGATCGGGATGAAATCCTGTGTATAAAATCGTATTAAAAGATTCTATCAAAAGACCAAAACCAACAATGTGTGTGTCCATCTCGCACTCATTTCTGACCTTTCTACGCAGTTTGTGGCACTCCACAAGGCCACTCAAATCACACATTTATAATATATTTACAAAAATAAAAAAACAGCCTGGAACTGTAGCTTTTAAGATGTAGCCTCAAACAGGCATAAATAGAGCATTTGTTGAGGACTATTTTCAGTGGCGGATTAACACAAAACCATCTGAGAATCCGTCATTGAAATCTGTTTGGAAGAGGGCAGGCACTTTCAAAAATGACTTGGCAGGTGATTGGATGAACTATCTGTCAATCAAATTTGGCGAAGAGCGAAAACATCTTTCCAGCGAGAAAAGCCTTCAGTGTTGTTCTTTGCTCTTCTGTCAATAAAGAAATACTCGTTAATTCTGATATAACTTCTACTATTGCAGCATCTTATGCTGGGCATTGTTGTTTGAAACAAACAGTCGCCTCACCGCGTCATCACACACACCTAATCCACGCCCTTAGTAGCTCCTGACAGTACACTCATTGGTCCGTGCTCTGGCTTACCAGACACAAACGCATTACTTGATAACTGTCAAGATGGATTTTCGTGTGATGTGTGATCCCATGATTCTCGCTTGATATCCCGACAATCCAGCTGCCGTGCAAGGTGGGCAGTCTGCACTGTGGCCTGCAGAATCTACCCAAAATAAACTACATTTCCCGTGTTCATGGTAATGATCCTTCATTGTCTACGTGTTGGTGTTTCTGGATAGAAAACTCTGTGTGTAAGAACAAATCAATTGCACTGTTGGTTTTGGTCTTTTCATGAGGATTTGTTGACCATGAGAAAAAAAATATATCACAAGACTAAATCACATGGAATCCAATAATGCTACAACACAATCCTGCTCATGGATTTGCTAAACTGCCAACAAATGGTTAAAACACCCAGTGGTAATACATTGATAGCTGCTATGGAAGCAATGTTATGGTAAAATCTCTGACACTTGACAAATATTGTCTCATGATATCTATTATCATATTGCACACCCCAACCCCCACAGTAGAAGTAGACATCTCATAGAAGGATAACCGGAGCAAATAAACCAAGATGATCTACATGGCTAGATACCACTGGAGGTAAAATATGTATTTTCTGTAAGTTTGGTGAACTGACCCTTTAAAGACAGCCATGTGTTTTACATGTAGTATTGTGTAAAATCCCATCTCAGTGAGCCAACGAACAATGACCAAGTTGGTACACCACAGTAAAGCACCTTCTCACTGTTTGCTTCACATGAAAATAAAAGCACTACCGCACGATTTTCCCCACTTTACATTCTCACCCAGTTATTGTACAAAAAAAATGGCAATATACAGAACGGTACACCTAGGGATGAAAATGATTAGAGAAACGAAAAATAAACGATGACCACCCCACATATTGAAAATGTAGCAGAGACCCACAAGATATTGAGAAAGGCATCCAAATGTGTCGGGATGTCTGAGTTGATCGTAGGCAGTAACCAGAATAGCCACTATTTCAAAGTATCTTACTGCAATGTACAGCTCTGTATGAGGGTCAATGAAAAATAAATGGTTCCTTTGATGAATCACTTCAAATGATACATAAACCAAGAAAGGTTTTCTGTCATGCAATCTGGTGAAATGGATTTCCAGAGAGTCTTTAGCTGTTTGGCCATTAAAAAGTTATCTTTCTCCCATTTTCTCAACTTAACGTCCTCTCCTGAGCAGCATAATGACCTTTATCAAGCTAATAAAAGTCAATTTGGACTCATACCGTTGTTAAATGAGTAATTGTCCTACTCTCTTGTTTGTGTTACCTAAAGAGAATTAGAGGCGAATAATACGTCCTGCTGTGGGGATAAGCAAATGATTAAGTGGGCTTGATTAATTTCAAAGGCTATTCCCGTCTGGCAACTGTAATATGTGCCGATAGCATCTGAAACCGTATCCTGAGGCGAACACTCGCTTTACATCAATGGCCTTTGAGCCTACAGGGACCACTGTCAACAGCATTGGCCGATTGGGAGCGTATCAAAGCGTTTCAAAAATACATTTTTCTAACAGCAGGAAGTGAACCTGAGCTGGGAACATTACTCAATCTGATTGGCTGGAGACTAAATCATCCTTTCAAGTATTTTGCAAACAAGTGAAGAACTTTGTGTTTTGAGCTGTTTTGTGATCCTCTTGTGCATTTGGGTTCGGTTGTAATTTTATTTGCTTTCATATTTAAATAACCTCATGTGATATATAACCTGAGGTAGAAATACAAGACTGGCTTACTGTGGTTGAGTGTTACGGAAATCTAGTCTATAAGACCATAGTGTTTGAGAAAGAAATGATTGGAATTTGTCTGCGTACCATTGAGTGATGTGAAATGGCTGTATGTTAAAGGGGTGGTTTCTGTTTGTGTATATTATAACCTCACTGAAGAGCTGAGCCTACTGATGAATCAACTCAAATAATAAATAGTCAAAATGATAGAAAAAACCCAGATGAAAATAAAAATGACTTTTCTTTTAATTTTCGCTCATCTGGTCTTTCTCTCTACTGCTGCAGTAGTCCATTACATGCTGAGGGTCCAAGACAATATGATGCCCATCCAGTTCACCACGGCTGAGGCAAATCCTCTTCATTGAGTTCTTTTGACAAAGATGTAGTAAATCCATATTTCTCATCTTTTTTTACCCCTCTTTCCTTCTGAGACAATCTCACGCGCCTCTTGACGGGAAAAGATTCCCTCCGCACAATCCAAGGTTCGCTGTTGGTTTTGAGATGAGAAAAATATTTCAAATACAGTCAGACACTGTCAGAGACTTGAGATCATGGCCAGGAATCTATTAATTTGAGTGTCTTTTTCTCACATAATTACTTCATGCAATACCCAAAGGCAGATTCCTTCTGGAACACTCTGCCTCTACACTCGTGTTCCTTCTGCTCCTGTTATAGATCTGTTAGCCATGAACCTCACAGTTAGACCCATTCAAACTGTGCTTTCCATCACCCACTCAGAGCTCTCAAAAGAGGGCTTTTCGTCCTCATTGTCGACGTACTGCAGCAGCATGCCGTTAACGGAAAGACTGCGCTTAGTCCAGATGTTGCTGATCCTGCGAGGGTGGGTGCTGCGACACTGCGCAGCCCCCACATGACCCATGTCAAACGAGTGACTCCTCTTGGGTTTACCTTCCTGCGGCATCCCTAATAGACGTCCCAGCATAGTGGTGGACTCGGCTCTCCCGAGCAGGGGTTCTTTATCGGACGGGGGTACCACAGCCAGCGTCATCACAGCATTGGAAGTGGTAGGGGGGCCGGAAGCCCCATGGTGGTCTCTCCCTACCGCTCGCAGCTCCAATGAGGTGAAGGCCCCTAAAAGGTGGTCCAGGTTTGGTCGTACTTTGGCGCCGTGCCTGTGCCTCCTGAACTTGCTGCTGGGCAGGGTGCTGCATTCACTGCCCTGCAAACTGTAGCGGTCGGCAGCCCCCCTTCCTGTTTGGCTGTCTAATGAGTTAGAGGAGGATGAGGACGAGGACAGACTGCTTTGGAGGGATCCACACTTGAACTCTACCATTTCCTCACGCAGAACCACCACTGTGGACTTGACCTGTGGCGGTGCACCATTAAACCTGTTCAACCCTCCATTGGTTTGCGAGTATGTGTCGCTCACAGTGGGTAATTTATTAGTCTGTATGCCACTGGTCACCTTGTACCGCACCATAAGGATGATGATGAACACCAGCAGCGTGGCCACAATGATGCCACCGATGACCAGGATCATGTTGCCACCCAGGAAGCCACTGTGGAGGGACTGGCACTGCGGGTAGTCCTCCCCAGTGATGAACTGGACACAGCCGACGATGTTGGTGGCAGTGAGGGTGGTGGCGGTGTCATCCCAAATGGCCAGGACACACAGGTCATACTGCATCCCTGGGACAAGATTTGTCACTACGAAGGCTCTGTTAGTCATGGGAATCATCCTGACAACAGAAAGAAAGACAGAAAGATACAGCATTAGAAATAAAGACCTCTTGCGATGGTCTAGACAAATTAACTTTCACAAGCCTACATTTAGTGTGTTTTGATCAAACTCTCGTGTGGTTCAACCACTGGTGCGGTTTGTTTGGGCAGTTGTGAATGCAGTTATCATATTCTGGTGCGGGCCATTACAACCGGTCCGAGACCACCTCTCGCAAGCAGGTCCCAAGCAAACCCTAGTGCGGTTTGATTGCAGTGAGAACATAATCGATTGCAGGAAGTATACGGGAAATGCAGGCTGCCTGTGCAGGCCTTCTGTTGAGATGGACACAAGTTACAGGTTAACATGAGTGGGAGAGGACGGAGGACATCTCGGCCGAAGACAGGATATGCTAAATTCTCTCCAAAAACAGTGACTATTATCAAGTAATTGTGACAGTGTTGAATCAAAGTGAACATAGTAAACTTCAACAGTCATATTTCAAAGTCTGCAATTCCCTGCATATAATTGGCAGCTCTGAAGATGAAAAAGATGAATTCAATCCTTTGACAACTCCCCTCTAAAATACGTTGTTTTTTTTATTTGATCTACTTTCATTTGTGCACTGTGAAACCGAACCAGACTAAATGGATAAACTCAAAGTATTAATTTCACCCTGATTCGGATTAGCCAAACAAACTATGACTTGTGAAAGCGTCCAAAGAACTTTTGTGTTAAAAGCAACATTGGCTTAGTCTGTTATGCTAGGGCAGATCAAATAAATTGCCAAAATGAAGCATGCTAAGTAGCTATTTATATGCACAGAGTAATTCAGAAAGAGGACTTCATTGGTCCCAGCATATCCCATTTGACATGCATGAAGCAATAGCAATAACATAAGTATTCAATGGATACTTTTTGAATATTGTCAGGACTGAATGTCATTTTCTTGTAACTGCCATTTAACAAGCATTCAGTAGTTAGTCTGTTATTATTCCAGATGTTTAAATATGCCTCACTGCTTTTGAGTGAAATGAAAGTCAATCTGCAGTGGGTTAATTATCTAAGACGTATTGCCAATCAATGGAATGCTGCTGTGTTGTGTGCAGTGATAGACGCTTTCGTCAAACAAACTCATCAGTCTATAAAGACTGCCATTACAGTTTGAAACGTTTCACAGGTGCATTTGTAAATGCTGTGCTTTGAGGGAATTCAATCACCAGACTGCAAGCAGTCTGTTAAGTGCAATTGACTCTACTGACCACATCTCGTTAAATCAGAATGAAACATTAACATGTCTGCAACCGTTTGCAGACATACTGTATACACACATTGGAATTGATGGGCCCATTGATTTAGGAATTGCATACATATTGGACACATTCGATGGTTACGTTTTTTGTTCATTGCCAATGTTCATTGCCACAGTAGCAACGATGTGTTAGGGTGTGAAAAAAAGCAGTAAATAACACTTTAATAAACACATCAGGACATCTTATTTTTGTCACCCTCACAGGGAATTCAGTATATATATATATATATATATATATATATATATATAATAAATTAATTAACGCCGTCAACTATTTTATCGCGTGTTAATGCAGTTTATTTTTTTGTATATATTGCAAACTTGACCTAACCTTCTGTAGAAAAGAGCCTCAGCCTAGTAGTGATGCGGGTTGTTTAAAAACATTGTTTTTAATGAAAATATGTGTTAATTAACCACCCGAACAGGAAGCCAAACATGACCCAACCTACAAGCTGCCAACTTTATACGTTAAATTAGCACAATTGACTGATGTCTGAGAGAAGATAAGATACAAGTGGCCTCTATCGTTGCAGCTGGTGTTGTGTAAGTGGGTGTGTTTGGGTGCCACCCGTTAACATTGCGCCCATGTTAACAGGGAATAGTAGCCACACCGCCTGTGTGAGCGGCGTGGCTCGGCTGCGTCTCAGATGCGACTCTTCTAGAGATTCAACGTGCCGCCTATTTTGTCCACGTGCAACAAGCAGTTAACAGGAAATAATGGAAGGAACAATTCTCTTTTTACACTATTTTGACATCATACCCCCAACATTACTACAGTTTCCATGTCTATATCTGAAGAATATGACGACAATGTAAGAATTTTTTTATTTTTTTATTTCTAATTTAACACTTTGTTTCAAAACGCTCTGGCACGTCTCTGTGGACAGAATAGCTTTATTTGTTGAGGCTTTCATCCTGAAATATTTACCGTCTTTATAAATTAATAATAAGACCCGGCTTTCAAATGTGGATTGTTTTTATTACTCACAAATGAGTACACGCTTCTCAACTTTTTTTTGTCTCTGAAATAAACATAAATTACATTAATGATGAAATCAAATGAAAGATTCTGGCCATTATGAAATGCAAATTGTATGTAAAAAGAAGGGCTGGCAGCCGCTAACCCTTTTAGTGCGGACTCAGCAGTTCAGCGAGGCAGACGTCATACACGGCTCATTGTCACTTGTTGTTCCGACCCGCAGTATTTCCTAGTAAGCTCACGCAAACGCGCTGGTCAACCGGTGTGACGACCCGAGCGTCACTACAGCCAACAACAACGCTAAGAATCCTTTGTCTTGTGGCATAAGAAGTAATTGCATTAATATCTACTTTCAATTGATTAATAGTGTTGAAATAAATTGGACATGATGGGTGATATGAGTGAAGAAGTACCTGCGCTCACTTGAGGGTACATCTGACAGAAACAGTTGGGAGCCATTGCTATACATACTACTTAGCCATTGATTGTTACATACACTGTAACTGTAGGAAATCAGAAACAAAGAGTCTATAAGGGCCATTGTCTACCCAGAATCTATCCATAATGCTCTGAATCGCCCAGACGATAGTGGGGCTGCGGTCCATTATTCACCCTTAATTGCCTTCTTCCATAACTAGGAAGAGGCTGCGTTGGCTCACATGTTTGAGAGAACTCATGCAATAATTCTCCTCCCCCACGTGGCTCTGATTGATTTTTAATCATTGCTTGAGTGCGGGCAATGCCTTGAGAAACTGTGTCAGCCAACTTGAGGAGAGGTGTTTACATGTGAGCAATGAAGTCATGGTAATATTAATTCAAAAACAGTAGTTGGCTTCTCTGTGCACGTTATCATTCCCTTCCAGCTCCTAATGCGTCTTCTGACATGCCAAAGGGACTGTGCAGCCACTGTTATATGTAGCTCATACATCTAATGCTTTTGGTTGTTTTTCTACTGTACATGAGTTACATACCGTGTGCACCGATTATGAAGGACAAAACATTGTTAAGCATCAAATCACATAATGAGGGCAATTTGGAATTTGAAGTAATGATTCTCGACTAACAACAACATCAGGAATGCCATTCAAATACCCACTGATAATTATGCTGCTGCAAATCAATGGAGGGGCGGGGTCAGTCATCAGTGTTAGGTTTGCAATCCTGCAGACATTAGATAAAATTCATAGGAGGCATTTGCAAGAAATGCAGATGAGTCATCCGACGTTTTCATAACCAGGAAAAGAAAAGGTACTGAAACTTCATATTGTTCTCTTTTTTCTGAGATGACAATCTAACAGCGAGCCGTGTGCAAGCAAGGAAATCAGATAAACACCTTTATTATTGATTGCATTCACAGTGTTTGAACAAAGCAATATCTTTCTTCAATATTGCGTGCGGCTGTAATCTCATATTCCCAGCTAATAACCAGACTTCTCTTATTCTGTCAATTATCTTTCATTAACCCGCTCTTGCTGGAATGCACAGTACAGGTAAATTGTGTAGGTTTCTGGATGAGGCGTTGCTGAAGGGATTCACCAGCAATTGTCAGTGTTAGAGGAAGCATGAAGCGGACACAGGAAAACAGGTTACTTTACCAATTTCTACGCTATTCTGATAACGTAAATACCATTTTAAGCATGCTAAGGGTATAGTTATGGTCAAATACGGGGAAATGCCTAGGAGCTGTAAGATGTAATAAATTGAATCTCATAGACTCAAGACTCATATAAATTCATCTATTTGTTTGCAAAGCCCTTTTTAATGTCTTCCCCAGATTGATTTAATGTTAAATGCTGAGGCTCTATTCTATATTTCCAGCTCAATTATCTTGGTCGAATGCAACTACTTTCACTGTCTCATTTGACATAGGAAATTGATTTCACAGAGCCCAAAGATCTCCAGCAGCAGTCTCCAAGCTTACGCTTTATGGACTTGAGCAGCTTAGGAAGGATATATTAAAATGAGGGTCTGTAATCCTTTTTCTTTTTGGATTTCTAATTAATGGCTCAGGGCAATGATTTCACTTTGGGTTTCACTGTTCTTAAAAAAATGTGCACTCCCTGTTCATTCTTTTGGTGAAAGCTATTGTCGATTTAAAAAGGTATAAAGGAAAATCTCAAGAAGGATTAAGAAAAATGAATGTTGATCTCCGAGTAACTCTTCAGAGAAAATGACTCTGAAACCCTCAAACCCAGCAGACAATTAGAAATTGACTGAAGAAGCTGAACAGCCAGTCTTCGGAAGTGAAATATTACCACAGGCTAAATTTACCACTTTGACCAGAAAGGTCTCAGCTCATACTTGGATGTAATCAAGCTGCATTAATCATTCTTACCTGTAAATGAGGACATCATCCTCTGAACAGTTGTACTGAAGCTGATACATTTTGACCTTTGGAGTTGATTTGCTAACAGTCCACTTGACCAGAGCAGAGACGGCAGTCACTTCTGATGCAGACACCACCTTCTCTGGTAGAGGTTTAGGCTCCCCTTTGCTGATCTTGGTAGAGCTAGTTATGTCCGAAAGCCCCGACTTGGACTGTGTGGTACGGTTTGTACCATTACTCAGGTGGGGGAGTTGAATGATTGACAGCTCAATGGAGGCTGTAGATTCCCCAGCAGCATTGGCAGCTATGCAAGTAAACGTCCCGTAATCCTTGGATGTGGTGATTGTGATATCCAAGGTGCCATTTTCATATACCGTTGCTCTGGAGGAGTTGCTGATCAAACGGTCATCAGGTGCAACCCAATGCACAGTTGGCATTGGATCCCCGACTGCTTTGCAGCGCAGGCTAGCTGTTTGGCCTTCCAGCACGAGTAACTTGTGTGTATGTTGCGTGATCAGAGGGGGCTCGCAAACAAACTCCTCCTCACGGACAGACCAAAAGTAGCGGCCCTTTAGACTAGCAGGAGAGGCACAGGTTTCCATATCATCCTCACGCTCCAGCCTTCGAAGCCAAAGCACTTCACAGTTGCAGTGCAACGGGTTTCCACCAAAGCTTAGAGAGAGCGGAGGTTCATAAGGAGTGCTCATCACTGCATTGCTCTGGGAGCGTGCAAAGATCGGGTCTGGAGGGAGCTTCTGGAGACGGTTGGACGTGAGGTCCAAGCGGGCCAGTTTATCCAGATCTATAAAAGTCCCCTCTGAAATGAAGTAGATGAGGTTATGATCCAGACTCATCTGATGGAGGTTGACCATCTTGCGGATCGCTTCCCAAGGCACACTGCGCAAGTTGTTATACGACAAATCCAGATCCTCCAGTGTCACTAACGAGTCGTCAAAGGCTGTGTTGGCGATCCTACTCAGCTGATTGTTGTTGAGGATCAGGTGTTGCAGGTTGAGCAGCCCTCGGAGGTCGTCCGGTCCCAGCTGAGTCAACCGGTTACTGTCGAGATGCAGGGATCTCAGGGTCTCCAGGTCGAGGAAAGAGAAAGGCTGGATGGCGCTGATGGTGTTGCGGGACAAGGTGAGATCAACCAGACCTGACATATTGGCAAAGTCCTGAGTTGTGACCTTGAGGATGAAGTTGCCGCCCAGCCGGAGCTCCACAGTTCGCCGGTCGATGTCCATTGGGACAAATAGCAGGCCTTTGGAGGGGCACAGAGTCCCCAGAGACTCAGAGAGGTTCTGGCAGACGCAGTATTTGGGACATGCATGGACCATCGTAACTGCAGTTCCCAGAAGCAGGAGACTGATGACCACTTTGTCCATGTTAGTTCATACAAAGGGGACCTGCAGAAACAATAGAAAACAAGGGTCAGTTTGAGATAATGATCTCTGATTTTGGTTACCTATGTCAGACAACATTTGGTTGCACAACAAAAATAGTTAAGATATTTGGGTACATCTCCTGAACAATATTTAGTAACATACATAACTGAATCTGGTCCCCCCTCTCTTGTACCCTAAGCCAATTAACTGCCATGTTAGTGGCCGTGATAGCCTCAGAACAACACTGACAAGCTAGTTCTGTGAGGACGAAAGTTTATTTCGGCCAAAGCGTTCTGCCTCTTTTGCTCTCTACACGCACTGTTAACCTGCATGTCTGTTCAAACATGATTGGTCAATACTACCTGGACTACAAACAGAAACCAGAACGCTTCCGATATCAAAATCTTGTCCCGTTGCCTACAGACTCTAGTAATAATGCAGAATCTGTTGTATCGAGATTATCTCCTGATGAATGGTTATCTAATATACATCCAAGGATTTCTCTACTATTGTGGTGTCAGTAATCATGATTTTAAAGCCATCCAACTTAGACAAATTACACGTAGATCTGAACCAAAATAGACTATTTTTGTAAAGATGGAGGGATAACTTTGTGTCTCTTAACCAGCTATCAACCACAGTAAACTCTGAGCTTCAGGTTTTTATCACACTGTTATCGTTGTGCAACATATGTAAGGATGATGTGTGATGATTTTAGTGTTTGATGCCTAAATGCAATAATTGCATAATGATTAATAATACAAATTAATAACATTAACATTTCAAACATTACAACATAATCTTCCCATCCAGAGATAGAGTGTGTGTGTGTGTGTGTGTGTGTGTGTGTGTGTGTGTGTGTGTGTGGAGGACACTATTAACACAGGTCAGATAAAATTCCACGGTGGTCCTTGGACCGTGGCGGTTTACTTGATGAGCTGGTCTGATTATCATCCTTGAGGATTTTTTCACATTAATATTCTCCATTATAACGTTGCTATGTATGTATTTTGCAATGCAAAGAAGGTGTGAGAAATCACACGAGGATCCTCTGAATGAAGCCCTGGATTAAACAGCTAAGGAGCTATTTTTAATGACGCACACACTTATAAACTGTCATTACAGATAGAGCGTGCTGCCTTGCATGCAGTGGAAACTAGATCAAGAAGGGCACATGCATATGCAGTAAGCAATGTATGTTGTTCTCCTTTGGAAAGATGCATCATCTTGGCAAAGTAAATGTGAAAACAGTGTTCTGGTCCGTATGTTTACTGTCAGCATCTTATTCTTTCTGTATTGTTTTTATCGATTTGTCTTGTTTGTTCCCTTTCCCCATTGTGTCTGTACCGTTTTGGCAAAAGATAAGTTGCAGGTGTTAAGACTCGTGAGACTTGAGTGACGAAATCGGCACACTTCTATGAAAGCCTTAACAGAACCTCACACCTGGCTGACTCCTCATGGCTGGCGAGCTTTTAATTCCCCCAGACATTTGTATCATTAATTCCTAATAAACGAAAGCTAAAAATCTATTTCAATCTTTTTTTTTTCATTACCATAGGGAGGCACTAGATGTCTGTGCCATCATTCGTAATTATTCACAAGTGTGAGAGATGCTGGTAGCAGCCTGAGGACCCCTTATCTTCAACTACCTTCTAACACCCCTTCACATGTGCACTCAATAACTCCTAATTACAAGAAGAAATATGTATAAATAACCCCTCTCCTTCTTGATAACAGTTCGTAATTACATCATGAAGTGCCACTGCATCTGGACTGCGTGTTGCACAAGAGTTAATTAGAACAAAATGACAGGCGTGAAAATGATCAATTAAAATAAATACCTGTGGAGGATTTGACATTAAACAAACAGTATGCACTGCAGAAAAATAACGATGTAAATCTCTTTGGTTTATTTTTGCACTATTTTGGTGGAAATCGTAATAACCAAACAGTTGTTTTTCGCAAATATTAATTTAAAGACAGAAACAATGCTCTCAGCTGTTACATTCTGAGCAGCTCATCATATTAGAATTCAATCAACACCGCAGAAAACTGTGAGAAAGTCTGTGGAAAAGGTAATTTTTTTTTTCTAGCCAAATAAGTGCAGACTGGACGCATACTGCTCTGACCCTCTCAGCACTCTGAAGCTAATCCGCACAAGGCCTCATGGTGAGAGCTGTCAGTATAGACAGACTGTTCCTCTCATGGACTCATTTTAATGGACAGCATCTAGAAAGAGTGAATGAAAAAGCCCTGCAAACTCACAGAAGCTGCTTTTTTTATACTCTCTTTTGATCTTCCTCGCCCCCTTGAAAAGGGACAATTATGGTGTGCGAGCATTTTCAAAAAAAGGGGGGGAAATATACAAATTGAATGCACATCGTGCTAGCTGGATGCGGTTGAAAAGCCCGGTGTAATTTCTGATCTCACAAACAGCTTCCCATTAAGGCGTGTGTCATTGGTGGGGAAGTTGCTTGGCTGAGAAAGCCAGGCTGAGGAGAGGAAGGGGTGACCTTTTGAGGAATAGAAGAGATGAGAACCACGGAGGATGTTAAACATCGCTACTCACGGGCTTCACCGAGTCCTGCAACACCATATACGTTTCAATGCAAGGGGACAAAGACGCTGTTGAGAATACTCAACAGACATTCAGTTCCACAGCGCATCGCCGATGACAAAACGATGAGGTGAAATTCATTGTTCACCTATTTGAATGGTTGTTCCCCCTCTGGCTTCTTTAGTGATCGCTGTGCCTGTCTCCATCTAATCTGTAACACAGTACGGTTACTTTTCATTTATTTTGTGGCATTTCATTTCATAAGCAGGCATACCGCTTGTGCAAGTTGTGTTGTAGAATGCGGTGTATACTGAATATCGCAACGGTTCGCTAAACTCCTCACAGCAAACGTCCGACCAACATTCGTTTGTAGAAGGAAGTTTGCAAGGGGGCGATACTCTGCATCTAAAGAGTTCTTTGTCTGTTTTCCTTTCAGATCACCTTTCCGAACCCAAAAAGCATAAAACAAACAAGATTAAAAATGTTAATGAATGGATGCAGGCACCCCCAGATGAATAGAGTAAATATTGTATTCATCACCATGAAACTTCCCCACTTGATTAAATACATGAAGACAATTAGTTTTTGTATTACAAGTTTTCTGAAATGTTGTGTTTAGTTATGCAAATAAGGGATTATCTCATTATACGTGCTAATTTGCATACAATTCCAGAAGAGAAATCTGAACATTGGATAAAGCCAGGTACAGGTTTATTTTGCTGCCATATGAAGCTCTAGCGTACCCATGCATGCCCAAGCCCATTGTTTATTTCTCATACATCTGCCAATCCCTCCTAATGCATGCTCACTCATTATTTCCTTGCTGTCATTGTTTGGAGCAATCAATCATGATGTCAGCTGGTCTCCTTTATCCAATAGCACAACAACACAATGACATGGTTAGCCTATCCTCTTGCTGCTGACTCTATTAAATATGATTGTCTCTCTACCTTCAGTACATTCATGCTGCTGTTACGCACCCCTCCACCTCCCCATCTCCGCCCAGTCTTCTCAGATTCATTAGCTTCATCAACTCATCAGACCACCATCACCACCAGTGTCTGGACTCCGGGCAGACGCCCCTCCATTACAAATTTCCCTGTAGAGTCCAAGAACCAAAGACTCTGTCAAGACTTTATCATCAGATTGAAATCAGAGTTAAAGGTTTTTTACAAAGAACTTTGGATAGCTCTTTGTATCACTCCATAGAACAGAATATTCAGCCATAAAAAAATCTATTTCCAGTTAAACAGAGACCTGATCAGTCTTCCATTTTTCGTTCTCATGGGTTAGTCCTCATCCTAAAAGGATTTTTTTCTTGTGAAAGTGAAAATATGAACATTAAAGTATACATCTAACCTGCGTATGTTCTCTTCAGCAAGCTAGGGATCCAAACAGGTTTGAACAAAATAACAAAACATTTTCCTTATAAGGCTACCTCAAAAATACACAACAAGGATTGTGCACAATATCATGCACGTAGCCCTCAAGGGAAACGTTCACATGGTTAGTTTTAAACAAGTCAGTCCTGGACAGCTAGCTACAATTGATAAATATTTACAATCGTCATTTCTGCTTTCAAAAATCTGTAAAATGAGAAACAAACTCAGAGACCAATTGTTTCAAAAGAATACTAAGAATTATGATGGTGAATGTGCCGGGGTCATCATTGTAAACAACTTGTACCATGGAGGAATGAAAAGCTTGATGTAAGATCTGAGAGGAAGTATTCATTTGCATGTAAAGAAAGTAGAATAACTACAGCTAATGTAGGTTACTCCTCTGACTATATGCAAATGAACAAACTCAGGAAGAACTAAAATGTGTTTATGTGCATCCGTTGCTTTAGTGTTTTGTACATTACTGGTTAGAGACTGTTTATAATAGGCATTCAATGCAGACTGTTACTCTAATTCTGCTTCCCTGCACTCATAAAATAAAATGTGCCGTTGTTGCTTCTGTGAATGTAAAAGGACATCACTTCAAATATAAAAGCTTTTAAGATCTGGTAATTGGTTGAATCACTTGTTTGTGTCAGTGGTGCTCTCATCAATCAAATGGAAAACAAGGAAAGAGTAAAGAGTTATTTATTTATTGTACCAATGGCTTATTGCTTAAAGGTACTCTCAAGCTAAACAGTAAATTCAAGCTTTTTCTTCTCTTTTCCAAAAGCAGATACTTTGTCTTCTTCAACGAGTATAACAATAATTAGATTCTTAATTTTGGCTTCCATCAGAGTCCATGGGCTTTATTTAAACAATCTATAGCACATGGTCTAAAGTGCATTGCACAAGTGCATTTACGGCCTGTTCAACTCCACTTCTGCTGGTTAAACGGCCCTTAATCTGGCCGCAAAGTAAGGCGCGAGGGCATAAGTGGTTGTATGTAGTCTCCAAATTGATCAAAGGTGGGTTTTGGGCTTTAACATTAATCAAACCAATCAGTGTCATCATCCATTCCCTTT